TATTTTGACGAAAGCTAGGTTGATTAATTAAACTCTGTTTAAGTATTCTCTTGGTGATCATTATTTTAACGAATGTATATGTATATGTATATGTGGAGAAAAGTAGTCAAACACCGGGATAAATATAAAAACAACTGTTTAATAAACTAACAACAGTTTGATAAACTTAGCTTTCGTCGGCTAAGTTGTTAGTTTATTAAACAGTTGTTTTTATATTTATCCCGGTGTTCGACTACTTTTCTCAACATGAATATACCCGGGATTTGCATGTTTAATATAATTAGAGACAAATATGTATATGTATATGTATATAGGTGTGTGTGTGTAGCAATAGCATTTAGATTTATATACCTCTCCATAATACTTTATAGCACCCTCTCAGTGGTTTAAAATGTCAGCATAAATGAAGAGCATCTGATCATCCCAAAGACGCTTTTCCAAAAGGCAACTGGATTTTCAGTTCTTCAGTTCTGAACTGAAGAAGCTTCTTGGATGAGAAGCGAAAGAAAGTCCAGTTGCCTTTGGGACAATCATAACCTGGATGACTGAGAATCTCTATCGACACAAAGAGCATCTGGGTTAAAATAAATCAAGAAACAATAGAACAGAATAGGTTGGTGTTATCTGGCATTAGCTACCCAGCCAAGGAGAAGATCTGTACAATGTCTTCCAAAATCAATCCTTCAAAAAAACATGAAACCATCGTAATGGGAGGCATCAATTACCCAACATCTCCCATACATGGTCCTGTCCTACCTTTCTTACAACTGTCTCTTTCTGGGGCAAGAGAGGATGCAAGACAATCATGAGCTGTCCTAGATATAATGCTAATCATTAGGGAGGACTTAGAAGAGGAAGTGGAAGTATCAGAAAAGTGACCCTCCATGTCAAAGTTTTAAGTGGAACTACAACTGTGTTATCTCAAACACGTATCTTGGACTTCAAATTTAGTGGCTTTCAAGCATCTCTGAGCCTTGATATGTTGGACCTAAAAACAGGAGAAGCAGGATGGGTGGGAATTCCCAAAGAAATCAGGATTAGCACTACAATTGTAACAAGATCAACGAGGGAGAAAGAGTAAATGACAGCAAAAGCCAGTGTGGTCACACACACAAAAAAAGAACTTAGTAAAAATCTAATTTTGTTTTTTTTTTAAAAAAAAAAAAAACACAGAGAGAAGAAATTGAAAGAAGGTCAGGACACAAAGAAAAAGTGCAGATTGGTAGCCTCGAACTGTAGAGCTGGTGTCAGGCAAGTGAAAGCTCAGAGTTGGATGAGGTTAACAAAGGATGCTAAAAATAACAGGAAGGGCTTCTTTAGATAAATTCAGAATGAAAGAAAAAGAGAATATTAGCTGCTCAGTGTCAGTGGCAAAATGTAAAAGCAAGAAGGGAAAAACAGCTACGCAGCTCCTGTTTTGGTTCATTCTTCTCCCAAAAAGGGAAAAATAATACCCTTATGTCCAATCAAGAAGTAGCAAAGGGCGAAATGAAGGGTATGATTTTAAATCTCCAGAACCTGAAAAATTGTAGCTTAGATTGCTGAGAGTCAGTTTGGTGTAATGGTGAAGGCATTGGGCTAGAAACTGGGAGACTGTGATTTCAAGTCTTGCCTTAGCCATGAAGGTAGCTGGGTGACCTTGGGCCAGTCACTCTCCCTCAGTCCCAGGAAGCAGGCAATGGCAAGTTGCTTTTGAGAAAGCTTGTTAAGAAAACTGCAGGGACTAGTCCAAGGATCATTGAAAGAATTAGCTGGTAGTCTGGCCAAACCTTTTATATTGTATTATCTGCCAAATCCTGGACAATTAGGTTAATATCAGAGAAACAGATGAGCAAAAAATATTGTCCTAGTTTCAAAAATGGGGGGAAAGAAAGATATATCCGTGACTCCATGTACCAGTGATGGTGAACCTTTTAGAGACCGAGTGCCAAAACTGCAACCCAAAACCCACTTATCATCGTCGGGTGCTGGGTGGGCGTGACCCATTGGGTGGGTGTGGCCCATTGGGTGGGCGTGACCCATTGGGTGGGTGTGGCTCATTGGGTGGGCGTGACCCATTGGGTGGGTGTGGCCCATTGGGTGGGCGTGGCTGCGGTGATAACGGCAGACTGGGTGGGACTAAAATGTTCAATCAATCAATTCCAACTTTGCAAGATCTCTTTTTTCCCACGAGAAGTTGAAATTGACTGATTGATTGAATCTTTTTTTTTTTGTACATAGCAGCAGAGGCCTAAAGCGAAAAGGTTTTATAAAACCCAGCTGAAGGGCTAGAACTGGGGCGACGGCGCGCGTGCCCACAGAGAGGGCTCTGAGTGCCACTTCTGGCATCCGTGCCATAGGTTCGCCACCACTGCCATATACCATGACCCAACCATGCCCAGGCACACAACCTATAAGCCCTTCAGTGTATCTGCAGGTGTATTTCTGAGATGGCCACGGTTAATTCTGGAATGGTACCTCATGGGAGCATCAAAAATGGAGACTACAAACTCTCAACTAGGAGTAGACAAACGTCCACTAAAACTTTGCATTTTCTTCTCGCTCCAAAGCAGTCAGAGTACGTCTTCTGCTCTGTGTTCCTGCCAATCCATCATGCTTTCTATAGGATGCTTCTACCACTTTCTCATTTCCTCTCTCTCTCTTTTCTAAATCAACATTCCGCATTTGGTGATTAAAAAACATTTATTTATTAAATGTCTTTTCCCATCCATCTCACTATCTAAAGTGATTCTGGGCGGCTTAGAATGCAATGATATATCCAGTCCTCAATCTTTTGAAGTATTTTGCCTTTGTATTTGTTTTTTAAAATTTGTTCTTCTAACGTGCAATTAAATTTCTCAGGAGTAAACATCTCAGCTTGCTAGTATCTTTTATTTTTTATTTTTTTTATTTTTGTTCTCTAAATTGCCTCCCTTTCTATCGCAGCTTCCTACCTGAGCTGTTAGGAGTGGTGCAACGTACGTTTCAAACTAAGGTTGATGAAGAGACTTTACACGTACAATTTTCACTCCTCTGTTTCTTTAAGCCAACGTAATGCACTATAGTCCTGTTCTAGTTCATTCTGCGTGCACCAGTTTTGGGACAGCGAATACATTCAGCTAATCCTGCAGTACCCGCAGAAATGTTAAAAATGGGATCATAATCATATTCACATGAACATATGCTCAGTCTCTTAGCTCTCTGAAGTCTCAGTCTCTTAACTCTGCACTCTTTCAGTCAAACTGATTAAAATCCCCATCCCGCTGAAAATTGGGGGTTAGAGTTCGCAGGAATATGTGTCTGTGTATGTATATGCATAAGCTTATGTGCATGTGTGCTTTTGGAGAACAGCTGGGTTAAAATAAGCAGCTGGGCTATAATAAATGGAGAAAGAATAAAACTGATATGGTTGGCGTCATCTACTATTCAAAGGAAGGCATAGATGCATATTTGCATTGGAAAACATGAAAACGTGATTTTCATTCGTCAAAGAGATTAGTAGAAGACTATAGGTCAGTGGTTCTCAACCTGTGGGTCGGGACCCCATTTGGGGTCGATCAACCATTTCACGGGGGTCACCAAGCAAGGCTGTCCGCCATTTTTTTTGACTGCCACTTTTTTTGTCCGCCATTTTTTCCCCCTTTTCCGGCGGGTGCCTTACCTCCCTTGGGCTGGGCCAGCGGGTGGTCGTCCTGCTCCGTCTCTGCCGCTTGCCAGCTACGCCTCGGCCGGCGCAGGGGGCGGAACCACGCATGCGCGGTGCTCCCGGGCAGGGAAAGTCCTCGACTTACGACCGGTTGGGTAGTCCTCGACTTACGACCGGTTTAGTCCTCGACTTATGACCGGTTTAGTCCTCGACTTACGACCGGTTTAGTCTGTCAACGTTAAGTGTTTCATTACTCAGACACATGACATAATCCTCGACTTACGACCGGTTGGGGTCGCGGCATTAAAAAGGTTGAGAACCACTGCTATAGGTAATATTAAAAAAAGGAAGCCCTGGGTCTGAGTCATAGTATGTTTTGCTTAGTTCTGGGATAATTTGGGCCTGGGGGTTTTTATTGGTTTTTTCCCATTCCCACAAAAGTACATTGGAAAGGAATGTGTAAAGTGGCCTTGATTCAAATCAATTTGGGAAACGATTCAATTCAATGTGGATTTTCCGACTGATCCATGTTTCAATGACCTTCCAATGAATGCATCCAATCGAGTGAAGTGAATCACATCATCTTCAAACTGAATCCCAAAATAAAATATATCCATTAACCTACTTTTTAATACCAGGCGAATTCACCAGGCTTAATACTACCAGGAAACGTGACTCTCTACTGAACAGGTCTTATCATTCGAGTCAACTTTTCTTTAAGTTGAGCTCAGTTCTTAGTGATGTCACATCCACACAGCTTCCATGGCAATTCCAATATGGGAATGGGTTCCCATTACATTCTTCCTGGATCTTTCTCCAGTAAGTCCAGCCTCAACCCTGGGGTGTATTATGGTGTCCCATCTAAATCCCAACCCTACTTAGCTTCAGAGCCCAAATATTAAGATCCTGCAAGGCTATATCTTTCAATCCAGACTCTTCATATCTTTCAATCCAGACTCTCCCAACCGCCTGCATCATCACCCTTCATGTTAAGTCAATCTTGACCTCAATGCAACACAACTTCCCTCCCCTTCCAATCTCAAGGAGATGTTCTGCAGCAGTGGCAGGAGTAGAAGGAGGAACAGGCTGCCTGTACTCTCTGCCTGAGGGTGAGGAAGGGGGAAGGAGGACTGCTCAACCCAACCTCTGGGTCAGGAGATTAAGGAGGCAACTCCATTTAGACTCCAGGGTCTGCCACCCATTCGCTACCCGCCTGCAGGAGTTGGCACAAAATGACACATTTTTAGGAGGGCACTTTGCAAAGGGTGGAAAGCAGGCCCCAAGCAGGAGAGATGTGGACTGTGAGCCATGTGTTTGATCACTCAGATTCTCCCTTTCTCTCCCCCTTTCTCCTTCGCCCTGGGCCATCAATCAGAGAGACTGGCACTGGGAACTGGGACACCGAAAGCTGCCAGATGGTGGAAACCCTCTCTGCTCATACCAAGTGCCAATGCAGACAGCTCTCAACCTTTGCCGTGATTGCCCAGCTCCCCAAAGACCTGGTAAGTGGGGCTGAGAAGGTAGGGCACAGGGAAAGCAGGCTGAGGGGGAGGGGGGTTGTCCCATGCTTCGAGGTGGCCACTGCCCAGATTTGAGCTTCTACTAAAGGAAAAGAGAGGGTGGAGAGATGAGATAATCCTAATCCTGCTCCTGCTCCTCAGCAGACCAGCAGGAAGTTTTGGAAACTGGATGGGAACAGCTCAGGAAATCCAGTTTGAAGGTGGTTGTTGAATTTTCTCTGATGGGACCAAGCTGTGCTGATAAGAGCTTGGCGTGATTTTTGGTGTCTCTGCTCCCCATTCAGATCTGGGCATATGACAAGAGGAAGAAAGCATGCTTCTGTGGTCTGAAGCTCTAAGACATTCAGAAGAAGCTGTGTTTCATTTATGTCCACTGTGAAATAGCAAGGACATAGCATGGCATTGGGATTGCCCACGTGCATTCCTCATACACGAGAATGCACACTGCCATTCTATATGCCTACACTGAGACTGTCCCATTCTCTTATCTTTGCAATCTGAGTTAAAAAAAAAATGGAGAAACAATAAAGCTGATGTGGTTGTGCGGTCTTGGCAATTAGGAGTAGTATCTAAATGTGGGTGATCAGTTAATTCAAAGCTCATTGCCCTGGGAATTATCTAGCTAGGCTTGGGCTGTTTCCCATCTGGGATTTGGGCAGAATTGTGATCGCCCTTAAAGTTTTGTGGCGATGCTTGCTGTTACAATTGTGCTATGATAATATTATGCAGAGTGGTTACACATTCTAAAGCACTAATATAAATATTAGATATTTATTAGTAGTATGTGGCATGCAATAATTGCTGTAGTTTCTATTATGGATAGATAAATCTTCTGCATCCAATTTGGGGCTCTCTCTTGGTTTGCTTATAAATTGATTCTGCCGTATTTCCATATTAATCTGCAATTTTAAAAACCCGTACCATAACTGCTATTAAATAGATATTTTAATACATATTTAATGCACATAAACTGTATTTCAAAGATATTATCCAAAGCATGCGCTGTTTCTTTTCATTTTTCTTGTAGGCAAGACTTAGTTTTGAGCTGTGTGCTTTGAGCCAGCAAACTAAAAGGGTCAGATGGTATTGAATTCCTAAATATCAGATGCCAACACGTTCCTCTAGTGGCTTTCTTCTGCACAGGGACATATTCACACATATGCTTCACACTAGCTCAAACTTAGATTGCCTTAGCTGTGCCTCCTCATTCCATTACTCTCCTCTCCCTCCCAAACTCTTGCAGAATACATGGATTGGGCTCACCTAATATAATAAGCTAAATTAATAATTATATAATTATATTTGTATCCAAATTTCTTTTTTTCTGACAAAGAGTAAAGAATTAAATTGGGAGACTAAGATGGACCATTTCTGGCTTTTTTGCCTTCATCAGTTAGCCATACCCTTTATGGGATTCGAACCTGGGCAGTTATACATACTAGTCAGTGATTTAGTCACTGAGCCATAGGTTCTCTTCCCCTCTTTTGCCAGCAGAGTCAAGGGAGTAATTATAGGGAGTTCAGACAGATTGGTCTGATTGTGAACACCTT